CCTCTACCTTGACTACAGCCCCAGTTCCAGCTGAAAAAAAACCCCCAAACAACCCCAAAGCACGATACTGCCATGCTTCACAGTGCGTATGGTGTTCTTTTGGTGATGTGCAGTGGCCAAAAAGCTCAACCTTGGTTTTATCGGACCATAACACATTTTCCCCCATGCTTTTGAGAGACTTCAGATATGTTCTTGCTGAATTTAGCCAGGCTTGGATGTTTTTCTTCGTAAGAAAAGGCTTCAGTCTTGCCACTCTACCCCATAGCCCAGACATATGAATAATACAGGAGATTGTTGTCACATGTTCCCACACAGCCAGTAATTTCCAGATGTTCCTGAAACTCCTTTAATGTTGCTGTACGCCTCTTGACAGCCTCCCAGACCAGTTTTCTTCTTGTCTTTTCATCAATTTTGGAGGGACGTCCAGTTCTTGGTAATGTCACTGTTGTACCATATTTTCTCCACTTGATGACTTTCTTCAGTGTGTTCCATGGTATATCTAATGCCTTGGAAATGATTTTGTACCCTTCTCATGATACCTTTTAACAATGAGATCCCTCTGATGCTTTGGAAGCTCTCTGTGGACCATGGCTTTTGCTGTAGGATGGGACTAAAAAAATGTCAAGAAACACCTACGAGAACAGCTGAACTTTATTTGGGGTTAATCAGAGGCACGTTAAATGATTACTCCTATTTAACATGATTTTGAATGTGATTGCTGATCCCCCATTTAAGAGGGTGTGCACACTTATGCAACCACATTTAGTTTTTTTAGTTTACTCCCTTTTTTTAGGTTTTCCATTGAGACAGTTTTTAGGTCACATTCCACTTATATATACCCTATCTGGACTTTTTATATCCCGATACCCTATCTGGCCGATACTCCCGAAAGCTGGAAATGACTCAAGTGGACACCACTACTTCAGTGATCTAAACTTATGTTCAGTCCCATGCCAAGTGGTTGCATTCCTGCTTACTGTGCACAGGGAGTCAGCTGCCCAGCGCCATTCAGAGAACACTGTGCATTTTCTGAAGGAATGGAAAGCGTTCTATGATTGGACAAGGCAGAGCGGTTACTTCCACCTTGTACAATTAGAAAATGCTTTGCATTCATTCAGAAAAAGCAAAGCATTCTCTGAATGATGCACATGTGGAGCAACACACCTGGCCACTTGGGACAGGGCCCAAAAGCAACAGATCACTGAAGTAGCTGTATTTACTTCAGCGATTTCCTGCTTCCAGGGGCATTGGCCGGGTATGGATATACATAGTTACACTGCTCCTAACTGGATCAATGTACAGTGCCTTGAAAGTATTCATACCCCTTGACATTTTCCACATTTTATGTTACAACCAAAACAAAAATGTATTTTATTGGGATTTTATGTGATAAGACCTACACAAAGTGGAAGGAAAATGATAAATGGTTTCCAAATAAATATCTGAAAAGTGTGGTGTATATTTGTATTCAGCCCGAGTCAATACTTTGCAGAACCACCTTTCGCTGCAATTACAGCTGCAGGTCTTTTTGGGTATATATCTACCAGCCTTGCACATCTAGAGAGTGACATTTTTGCCCATTCTTCCTTGCAAAATATCTCAAGTTCTGTCAGATTGGATGGAGAGCGTCTGTGGACAGCAATTTTCAAGTCTTGCCACTCTTGATTCTCAATTGGATTTAGGTCTAAACTTTGACTGGGCCATTCTAACACATGAATATGGTTTGATCTAAACCATTCCATTGTAGCTCTGGCTATATGTTTAGGGTCGTTGTCCTGTTCGAAGGTGAACCTCCACCCCAGTCTTAAGTCTTTTGCAGACTCTAACAGGTTTTCTTTTAAGATTGCCCTGTATTTGGCTCCATCCATCTTTCCATCACCTCTGACCAGTTTCCCTGTCCCTGCTGAAGAAAAACATCCCCACAACATGATGCTGCCACCACGTTTCACGGTGAGGATGGGTGTGTTCAGGGTGATACGCAGTGTTAAGTTTCTGCCACACATTGCGTTTTGCTTTTAGGTCAAAAAGTTAAATTTTGGTCTCATCTGACACGAGCACCTTCTTCCACGTTTTCTGTGTCCCCCACATGACGTCTCGCAAATAGGACTTCTTATGACTTCTTTTCAACAATGGCTTTCTTCTTGCCACTCTTCTTTAAAGGCCAGATTTGTGGAGTGCATGACTAATAGTTGTCCTGTTGACAGATTCTCCTGCCTGAGCTGTGGATCTCTGCAGCTCTAGAGTTACCATGGGTCTCTTGGCTGCTTCTCTGATTAATGCTCTCTTGCCCGACCTGTCAGTTTAGGTGTATGGCCAGGTCTTGGTAGGTTTGCAGTTGTGCCATACTTTTTCCATGATGATGGATTGAACAGTGCTCAGTGAAATGTTCAAACGTTGGGAAATTTTTTTTTTTTTTTTTTATAACCCGAACCCTGCTTTAAACTTCTCCACAATTTTATCCCTGACCTGGTTCGTGTGTTTCTTGGCCTTCATGATGTTGTTTTTTCACCAATGTTCTCTAACAAACCTCTGAGGGTTTCCCAGAACAGCTGTATTTATACCGAGGTTAAATTACACAGGTTGGACTATCTACTAATTAGGTGACTTCTGAAGGCAATTGATTCCACTAGATTTTAGTTAGGGGTATCAGAGTAAAAAGGGCTAAATACAATGCAAGACACACTTTTCAGATATTTGTAAAAAAATTTGGAAAACCATTTATCATTTTCCTTCCATTTCACAAGTATGTGCCTTTTTGTGTTGGTTTATCACATAAAATCCCAATAAAATACGTTTTTGGTTTTAACATGATAAAATGTGAAAAATGTCAAGGGGTATGAATACTATTTCAAGGTACTGTAACTATGCTTAATAGAGTCATGTCTGGAATTATTTTTTAAGTACAAGTGTAGGCAGATATAAAAGGCCTTCATATAACCCAGTTAAGTGGTCGTTAAAAATTATATAAAAATGCCTAAACATATATTAAATTATGTCTCAAACAATGTGTGTACTGGCTTCTTATAATCCACTGTACATGAGCATTCAACCAGAGAGGAAGGGACAGCACTATAAAGCAAATCAGATTTTTTTTCTTTTGCATTGACCAGGGCTGTGAATCCCACATATGGAGCTAGCTAAATGAAGGAAAAAAAACAAAACAAAAACAACACAGAGGTGATCTCAAAATGCAGCTGTTGTTCCTTCAGTAACTAGTCAGTCTTCACCAAGTTGTATTACACGTACTGAAGTAAAGGAAAGCAAACGGTCAGAACCATGTAACTTTGGCAGAGGTGCCTGGCAATTAGCTGAAAAGAATTAGAAAACCTAAGGCAATTTACACATACACTATGTATTGTTTGCCTACACCTACACTTTTAGTTATGATGTGCGACTTCTCATGTTGCTTAAAGGAATACACTATATGGTATTGACACCTCCTCAAATTTTTCCAGTGTTTCCAGTGAAGGGTAATATTACAGTATACAAAGATATTTTTGACAATTGTGGGCATCAAACATCATCGCAAAAGTTTGGGTCACTCTTCTGCTCCAAGAAGACTATATCCCTTTGCACAATGCAAGCCACATAAAGAACTGTTTTAACAAGTTTGGTGTGAAATAAATAAGACTAGTCCACAAAGATCCCATCCTTAACATAATGAACACCTTTGGCATAGTTTTGAACAAAAAGCCAGGTCTTCTCATCCAACATCAGTACCTGACCCAAATACTGTATTCTTTTGCATGAATGAGCACAGATTCTCGTAGACACTTCAAAACCTGATGGGAAGCCTTCCTAGAAGAGTGGAGGCTGTTGTATCTGTAAAAAGGGGAGCTGTCTCCATATCAATTTCAATAGATACGGAATTAGACGTCATAGGTGTGATGGTCAGGTGTCCACAAACTGTGACTAGTGTATGTATTTCACAGGCACAAAACTCTTTTTTTTCTCTTTGGTAAATGAGAGGGGTAGAAAAAAAAAATGCATTTGACCTGTTCACATTTAAACCTTACATCATGATAGACAAGTTGATTGCTTTATTTACAGGTTTTTAAGTGACCCTGTTGTCGGGGCTCTTCTCTAAAAAATTAATAGGCCAAGGCAGCAGAACCTGTAAACATCTTTAACATCTTACCTTATCCATCAAATGAGATTTTTCAGAACAAGTATATATGAACACAACCTAATAAAATCATGAAGTCATTTATGTTCAGACTATTTTCTGCCCCTGATAAATTTACTTGTGTTCAAAGAAATGCTAAAAATCTCTGGAGCCTTTACAGTTTATGTCCAATTATATTTCTTAAGGAGGATGACTTAAGTCACAAAAAGGTGCTAAATTACAAATATATATTGAAAAAAATTAAATAACAAAAATAAGGAAAATAATTAGTGATCCCATTATTTAGTGTGCAGAACAGCAGCCTCTCAACACTCACTACAAGGAGTGTTACAGCAAACATATGGAAGATGGAATCACTCAAGATAGAGCAGAAACAGATGCATTTAAAGTGATATGAAACAATAACAGGTTTGTTTGGAATATATCGCATTTTCTTAAATTTATAACCTCTGGTTGTGAATGTACTGAGCACCAAACTGTAGCTGTCCGGTTTTAGAAAGTGCTATCATCATTGCATGGGTCTAAGTGAGTTGTTATTGATTGAGCTTGCCATTTCCAAGAACTTCATTACATGATAGTGCCAACCAAGTCCATTCTCGGTCTACATTTGGAAGGTTCTGATGCTTTGCGGTGATGGGAAAAGCCTGCACCTGATTAGAAGACGACATACTAAAGATCTGACTTGTATGGCTATCCGAAGATTCGGAGGAGTTAGAAGGAAAATCGTTCTTCTAATTACTGGAAAGCGGGTTTCTGAGGTGGCAGTTACACTGTTTTTTATGTCCCTGTTGTTGGACTTTGATTCCTCTTCCGCTGCCCAATGATTTACCCTTGTTCTCAAGGACTATGCTTTTCTCGATTCCCATCATGGTGATCAGTCTCTAGATTGGTAAAACAGGATATATCCCGACTCTGAATTTTTGGAAATGTCTGATGTTAAACCGTAGAACTCTTCAATGGCTTGGGCATCAATTTTCTGTGTTGACAAAGAATAAAAATCAAAATGCTTGCAAAAACAGATACTCAACAACAAACATGTCCCTATACTTAATGGGAAAATTAAACAAGACCTGTCTCACCAACAATAAAGATCTTGTAAATATGGGTGATTCAGCATGGAAAAGAATCAGGACTGCCTCATCACAGGCACGGCAGTTCAAATTTTGTGTAGAATGTCAATGCCCTCATTTAGCTGTGCAGTTCTAGGTAGGTATTTTCTTATTGGACACCGATGTCTACAAGACCCCGTAGATGCCAATGTAAATCTCAAAAGGCTGATCGCTCTTTAATGTGTGCAGGTTATCACAACTAAGCATGCCACAGACAAGCATTTTTTTTTTTATTAAATATGGAAAACAAACCAACCTCTACAATGTCGTCATCAAACAGCAGCCAGAACCCATGACTCTTTACAATGGTGATGTAGTGTCCGCGGTTTGGCCCACTATTTTGAGTTTAAAAAGAAAATAATGAAAAATCAGTTTGGAACCTGGACAATACAAATATTAATAAGTTCCATACCTTACTAGTGCAAGAAAAATTTTTTTTGAAATACCAGTAAAATCTGCTTGGAGTACAGTATGGACACTGGATATTTAGGCTTTACAATTGATCATATGCAGCTACTGTACCTTAAGGTGATCGAGCAATAGCAAAAAAGCAGCTGGACTGTCCTCTGAAGAACCACTCCCAGCTAGCCTCAGTTCTATAGCATGCAACAGGGGCTTCAGAAGAACGGTGAAGAAGGATCTGTACCCATACTATGCTCCAAGAAACAGATTTTACTGGTAAGTCAAAAATCCTACTTTCTTAGTCATAAAGTATCACTCAGAGAAAAGTTAGCCTTTACCATGGGATCTCCAAAAGCAGTTCAACTTAGGGGTGGGTAACACAGCAAGCACCACCAACAGATACACATCACAACAGGAAAAGAAGGGCTTGACAGAACTCAGGGGGCAGTGTGTAGCACTTTACACCCAAAACAGGCAGCAGAAGCCTGACCATTCTCCTGGATGAACGTGGCAAAAAGTGTTCACAGTAAACCAGGTGGTGACCTTGAAATCTGAGAAACAGATGCTTGATGTTGAAAATCCCATGAAGCACTAACAAATCTGGTACAGTGTGCCATAGCAGGGAAGGGAGGAACCCTATCTTTCAGACTGTAGGCTTGAATGATGACTTGTCAAATACACCCAACAATGATGGAGCAAGAAACAGGGAGCCCTCTTCAAGAGTCCTCACAAAAAGGGAATCTGGTTGAATAAGGCAGTGTGAAAGATATACTCTAACAGCATGTAACACATCAAGACAGATTACAGAAATTTTCCTTAGATGTTTCCGAAAAGGACATAGCGAAGTAAGAAAAATGCTCTGGTTAGCATGAAATGAAGACACCACTTAAGGGAGGAAAGAAGCCTTAGACTTGAAGACAACCTTATGTTTCCATGCAGAAGTGATAGAAAATGCAAAGTTTACTGGGTGAGTAAGGGAAGATAAGGCAATACTTCTGATAAGCCTCGAAGGGGAGCTTCTCAATGGTCAAAAGAACCAGGTTATGGTCGCACAAAGACACAGGAAAGCGTACTGGGAGAGAGAGATGCACACCACCATGAATAAAGGTTGTAATTAAAAGTGGTTCTAAAGGCTCAAAGTTTTTTACCTTCATGCATTTTATGTGTGAAGGTAAAAAAACCTTCTGTGTTAGCAGCCTTCCCAAATACTTATCTGAGCCCCCTCTCGATCCAGTGATGTCCATGAGACCCTCACTCTCTGGGGACTCTCACTCCTGATTGGCTGAGGCAGGCATTGGCTCCCACTGCTGTCAATCACAGCCAGTGAGCCAATCAGGAGAGGGAGGGGATGGGGCCAAACCACAGCTCTGTGTATGAATGTAAATGCAGAGCCGTGGCTTGGGAGTGTGCCTGCATGGATGCCCCCAGAGCAAGCTGCTTGCTCTGGGGGCACTCAGCAGGAGGAAATGGCCAGTAGCACCAGTGGGGGACATGGCAAGAGGAGGATCCGAGCTGTTATGTGCAAAACCGCTGCACAGAGCAGGTAAGTATAACATGTTAGAAGAAAAAAAAAAAAACAGGACTTTAATATCACTAAAAGCAGAGGCTACTGGTCCCTAGAATAATATGGCCAAAGTTAAGATTTTCCTTTGAGAATACTCAAAGCCAGATGCTGATCCAAACCAGACTGAAGGACAGTATGTGTCCCGCAGGTGAAATTTCCTTGTCTGGCACCAAGCAAAATAGATCATCCAGGTGTGATGGCAGGCTTTTCAGAAGAGCACTTCCTAGCGTTCAAAGGGGTAGGGATGACTGAATTTCCTGTCCCATGCTGTCAAAGCTGGTTCCAGCAGGTCCCAATGATCTGGGAGGACCCCCAGAGAGTCTGCCAATAATCTGAGTAAGTTTGAGTATCACATTCTCCTAGACTGATTTGGTGCATTGAGAATTACCAGAATGCCCTCCATCTCAATCCTGTGAAGCAGATGAGGAATGGTCTGGGGGTGGGGTTGAGTAGGAGTAGAGAGTGAACTGATCCCATGGCATCAGAGAATCCACTGCGAAGGCCCAAGGGTCCCTGGACTTGACATAAACTTGTCCAATTTGTTGTTGAATCTGGACACCAGAAAATCAACGTTCAGCACCCCCAATTTCTGCTAATAGGCTTGAAATACCTCTGAAAGGAGAGGCCATTCACCAGTGTCTAGATCCCGACGACTAAGCAAATCTGCCTTCCAATTTTCCGTGGCTGGGATGTGGGTGGCAGACAGGGCTGGAGCAAGCATTTCTGCTAATAGAAATTATCAGGTCTGGTTCTATTAAGCGACCTGACGTCTGCTGCTTTGATTGTGGAGGTAGGCTATGGCCATAACATTAACCAACTGTATTCTCGCCGGGTACTTTCGCATTTTCAGTGTTATAAGGACAATTGAATCACACTGAACTCAGGGATGTTGATGGAAAGATGGGATTCCTCTGACTATGAATTCCACTGCTAAGTAACCGCACCGAAAACTCCTCCTCAATCCAATAAGCTGGCACCTGTCTAAAGAACTTTCCACATCTTTGGAAGAAAAGGTTTCTCTTACAGCAGCACAGGGTCTGCAAATAACCAGATCAGGTTTGTTTCACACTGCCAGAATGTTGTGTTGCAATGGTCTAGAGCAGGGGTGGGCAAACTTTTTGACTTGAGGGCCGCAATGGGTTCATATATTGGACCCGGGGCCGGATCAAGAGTAGATGAATTATGTGTATGTGTCATCCATAGTAAGTATAGTAATATTTCCCCCATAGTAAGCATAGTAATTAATCCCCCATATAGTAATTCATCCCCCATATAGTAATTCCCCCATCCCCCCATATAGTAATCATCATTCCCCCCATATAGTAATTCATCCCCCCATATAGTAATTAATCCCCCCTATAGTAATTCATCCCCCCTATAGTAATTCATCCCCCCTATAGTAATTCATCCCCCATATTAAGTCCCCAAGTTCCCCCTGTGTCAATTCACTTACCTTTGCTCCGCGCGTTCCTCTCGCCGTGTCCCGCGCCGTTCCGGTGTAGCATGAAAATCTGTCTCCTATGAGGATCTTTCCCCCTCGACGTATCTGCGCATGTGCCAGTTTCAGGCATTAGCAGCCGATCGGCGATCTCTGGCACATGCGCAGATACGTCGAGGGGGACAGATCCTCATAGGAGACAGATTTTCATGCTACACCGGTCTTCAGGGCGGACTGTGAGAGGAGCCTAGCTCCGCGGGCCGGATTAAAAGGTCCGCCGGCCCAGTTTGCTGGTCTAGAGTGAAACGGAGCATAAAGTACAGCCTTGAAGAAGGTAACCATTAGACTCGAAACCTCATGCAAGCACACAGAAAGGGTCTTTTCTGGGCCCTGAGGGCCCAGGCATAAGAATGGAGAAACAGAAGTTTGCCCATCCTGAACAGTGCTGAATACTCAGGCCTTAATACTCCAATCTGTCAGATGCCAGTGATGACTTTTGCATGTTGAGCAACTGAAGCTCTTGCAGATCTTTTTTTTTTTTTGGCGACTTTGTGCACCAAATCATGTATGCTTAGGTAGTCTTTATTTTGTGTTACTTTTGCTTTATTTCTTTTTTTTTTTTTTTTACTATTATTGCTTTATAGGGCATATACCTGCTCCTTTTTTGTATTATATTACTGGATTTCCAATTTCTTTGAATGGTTAAAGTCCCCTGATCATATGGTGCCTGCAGCTCTTTAAATCTGGGAAAAAATTATAAGCCATGTGAGTCTTCTTGTAACAGAAAAACATATGCCTTCCCTGAGGAAGGCAGCTTGTCCTGCAAAAACGTATCAGAGATGACTATATGAAACCTTTCCCAGGATTAATTGGGACGTGATTGTCAACTGCTAGCATAATATAGAACTGTCTCTGTTTTTAAACAGTACTTCAATGTTTTTTACTGTGATTTTTTTAAAATATTTTGTATAATAAAAACGTAAACTTTTTATACGCACATGGTGTGGTACCTTTACGATCCTATTAACCATTCACAAAGTAGTGAAAGTGAACTGGTAAGATATCTAATTGACTGTGGACCACAGGTTGCACTGGGGGGGGGGGGGGGGGGGGGTTGGTTGTAGAGAACATCCTTAAATCTCTTGTCCACTGGGTCCTTGCACACGGAGCTGTGGGGATCTTGTTGGGGTAAGAGATGACACGGTCAACTACAGGGAACCCATAATGGAGACCTTGGGGCAAGCAGACTCAGCCTGCTCTAATGCCAAGGAGGAGCTTACAGCAACAAGAAGGGTAACTATAGTATCCTTAAGTTAGGATGATCTTACAGTTGAAAGTGTCTCAGGCTGATCAGATTCCTCCCACATTTTCACCAGTGTCCATTGCAAACTACCAGCCTGTAGTCACAGTAAGTGCTACTTTTCCAGCAACAGCATAAAGACTAGCTCCAAGGACAGAGAATGTGTAAATGGATTTCATCTGCATGCAGAGATCTTGCATGTAGGCAAGAATAAAAGGGACCAACACCATCCCAGCATTGCCCTCCATGATTGGCACAAGGAGTCTTCAGGGACAGGGCCTGGACCTGTAGGGCACCCTGTGGCTAACAACGATGTGGCCAACATTGTGACAAACCCAGCAGAATACAGTGCCCTCAGGAACTTTACAACACAGCCCTGGCTTCTTCAATCCCAGGCTCAGCCAAGATGTCAACAGGAGCTGCAGCTATGTTGCAGCCAGGGGATCTTGATAGAGGAATCGGAAGAGAGAAACCACCATTAGGAAGAAAGTAAGCTTTTCTCTAGTTAGGTATACTGAGGCTAGCTGGGAGTGGTAAGGTTATAGAGAGAGTGTCCGAGCAGATTTTTTTTGCCTGTGTCCAATCACAAATAAGGTAGCTACATATAACTCGTATAGTAAAGACTAAAGATTCTGTATCCCTACTAAAAGACTAAAAAAAGGAAACTGGTATTGGACAAGTAAGCTGCCATTGCTTAAAATGCTATGTTGACCAATGCGCTTCAATACTTTCTGAGCCATTGTCCATGAACAAGTCTGCATTCAGGAGTTAATTTTTTTGTCTTCCCTACCTGCATGGTTCTTTCAAGTTAGTTGCTCAAAGCACTGAAGAGCTAAAACAGCCAGGCAATTGGCATTTTCAGAAAGAGGTAAAGGCAGCAATGGCAGCCAAAATAATATTCTCAGGACAGGTTTATTTGCATCATAACACAAAAAACATGAAAAAGATGATCTAAATGAAAAAAATAATGCATCATTGTTTTGTCATAAGTAAAAGTGCTTAATAAGAGAGGATGCAGACACATTTCCATTTCAATGCTTGTGATGTCATACCTGCCACAGTGGACTACCACAGCTACCAGGTCATACATTCGGTCTGGATTGGTAGCATCCCCAGATGTGTTGAAAAGCCGAAGCTCCAATGGAAACACCACACGATAGGAAAGTTTGGTATATCGGTGCAGTTGGTCCATGTATTTAAACCTTTTCAAGTGCAAGGCTAATATCATAGGCAACTTCTTTACTCTCATCCTGCCAAAAGATGGATATCATTGTTGGTGACTGGCTCATTCCATAACAAATAAACAGCTATCAGTTTGGAAACTGCTCGAGTTCCCACGCTGCTCTCAGTAAAACTGAGTTTTTCGTGGGCCCAGCTCACACCTTCTGGTTACCTGTCTGAAGAGAACCACCCTCACAGTCTGGAACCATGCCAGAGCCAAATACCGTTCCCCCATTCCTTTTCTCTTCACACGCCCCAGTGGGGCAACCATGTCCTTTTCCAACTAAGAGGTCCCCAGACCCCCAACTCTGGGCCTTGCAATGCATTGTAGCCTTAAAACATTATGTCAGAGGGGAAACTAATGAACTTTGCTGTTTTTAAGGCCAGATTTCATCTTCCAAACTGGATACTCCACATATCTACAACTGAAACATGCAGTTTTGGGTATACCTCTGAACAGTTTTGTCCTATGCCCTTTCCCTTATTTCTTTTTTCTTTCCCCATTCTCCCCTCCCCTTCTATTCCTCAGTTAGCATGCTGACTCCTAGATATACCTGGAACAAAATGCCCAGTACCTATACCTGGAACAAAATGCCCTGTACCAATACCTTTTCAAAAGACCATTATGATGAAGTATACATACTTATTATTGATTCGTTTCAAAGACATGTTTTATGGTATGTTACACTTTGCATCCGGTTGTGACCTCTGACTCACATGTCTCATGTCATCCCTTCAATGCTGTATTAAATACGCTTTATGCGGGTGTCTATGCTCCTCCAGCTATCCATTTTGAATAACACTGTCAGCTGCATTGACTGTATACTCGGCTGTCTATTCCTAATTTCATTATTAAAAAAAAAAAAAAAAACCCCAAAAAACAAAAACAAAAAAAAAAAACACAGCTATCAGCAAGGATGAAGAGACGAGAAAACAGCTGAAGTGAAATACAGCAAAATGTTTTAGATACTGTTTAGACAGCAGATTGCCCTATAATATGAGCAGAATATGGGGAACTGCTAAATGTAAATAAAAGGTTAAAATGGAATTCCAGCCAAATTCTAACTATGCCTAAACCTATTCCCATCCCCATTCTAAAACTATTCTATCTACCCTGTAAAAATTATTTATACATACCTTACTATGTTTACATTATTCGGACGCAGCTCTGGTTCAGTCACATGATAGGGGCCCAGTGCCGGCTTCCGTGTAGGAGAACATGCCCCATAGAAAGCCAATGGATGTTGCCCCATAGAAAGATCTATGGATGACTTCAGAATAGGTAACTAAAGACATCTTTTCTTTTATGTTGATGATAGCCTTTCCTCTACACTGAAGCCGACACCAGCACCCATGGCAGTTGTGGGCAGATAAAAAACTTATTACATCAAGCAGGACACAAAAATTGTGCCTGCTTGCTGTATAGTGTACAATCATGTTTGACATTTATGGCAAGCACAATTTATCACCCTAAACATACCTTTTCTGTCCTTCCTGTTTGCTTCGACACTGCTCACAGTAATACTTGTATTCGCTGCATAGTGTTTCTGTGTTACTGAACCCCCTGCAGAAACAAAGTAAAATCAAAAAAACTTTAATGCAAGCGCAACACTGCAGATACAGAATACACAATTATTTATCACATAAACAATTTTATGTATACACAAACACATATTATATATTTATATATATATTTATTATATATATATATATATTTTTTTTTTTGAACAAGAATAATGACTTGCCTGTCACAGTCGCCACATGATCAGAGGCCGGTCCCACCAGTTCCCAATCATTGGTACAGACAGAGTTCTTTGCTGAGAGCACACTTGCTGTGCAACCTCTGTCGTAAACAGGCACATATGTGGTGTGTGAGTGCTAAAGCCCACCTTCTTTACCACTGCACATATGCCTTATGTAGGCAGCAAGAGATTAACAGTAGCAATCCTCAGCAATCATAAGGGAAAAGTGGTTCCCTGCGCTTACATAATGGAGGCAACCTTGATCTGTGCCCATGCCAATGCATGGACATAAAACTTAGAGATATCAACTGGAATGGGATAGAGGGGGACAAAGATGTAAACGTTTAAGAACACATTTCACAAGTAAAATATACAGAAGGTGTACCTTGCAAACTTTAATTTAATAGACAAGTGACAAACTATGCTCCTGGTGTCTCCCTCAAAAGGAAAGGGTGTTTTAAATATACTTTATTATGGACAGGGAAAATCTATCTTTCTGTAAGTCAGGTAAATAGAAATATTTAATATTAGCCCCTTTACAACAGCATACACATATATTCAGAGGCAGGACGCGTAGACCTTAACACCCAGCCACTGCATAAAATGTGTCACGGTCTTGTTCTTGGACATGCTCAACCGGCACCCCCAAAGGCTTCTGCTACTGTAAAGGTGTCAGTATTTTGTATTTTCAGTTGAGGTTGAGCTCCAGATTACCTTTGGAGGTATCCACAGCAATTCTTAACAGTTTTACTAAAGGATCTATTGCTTGCAGAGCTCAATATATCAAGCTGAAATATTTTGCAAAAAACAAAAATGGGTCAAAGACTCCCCCCTTTCTCCTCCCAACAGGCCGTTTGTAGTTTCAACCAGAGAGACAGCCTAAAAGGAAACAACTTCTGCTTTGCCCATTAAGCTCTGTCAAACTGGTATTGTGGGTGCACCTTGTAATAAACAAACACTGTATATGTAGTAGTGGGGGGGGGGGGGGGGGAGGGTTGGTGGAGGATACGACTGACCTTAAACCAGGGCTCAAAATTTAAAGTCCTGAGCTACTAGCTTGTCCTTAAGAGTTACTCGTCACCAGTTTCCTCACCCAACCCCTACCTTGCCTGCCCCGAATTCTGCCCTAAACACACCCTCGTAAATTATCTCATGAAAGGACACTGGTAAATGTTTTATGCAGAATGAAGTTACGAAAATTAATAACACAACTTTAACATTAAGCAATGTAAAAATAAAAGGAAAACAAGTGTCTCCATCAGAGTCCCCCTTTACATCAGGTGTTCCAATCAGAGTCCCTGTCAGGGATACTACAGGCATCCAGCAAGGATGACCAGATCAGTGGGCTGCACCTTCGGAAATCAGGAAGCAGGCTGAGTAAGGTTAAATGAAATTTATTAACATAAATATTACTCTTACAACGTCAACAACAATAAACCTTATCAATGTAAAGTGACAAAATAAATGTGAAAGTGCGGCAAACCAAACAATAACCTAACTATATACAAATGGAGGGAGCACACACACAAGCCGGGCAAGGAAAGGACTAAGACCGGAAACAAGAGGAGCAGGGGGGAAAGGTACTGGGAGAGCAGGAAGCAGGTCAAAGGAACAGGTCTCAGGGTCAGGTCCAAGTACAGGAACAAGGTTCAGGCTCAGGCAAGGATACGGCTTGCAGGAGAAATACTGAAGTCCTGAACCTCAGTTTATGGGTGGGCGTGGGCTTATATACCTCCCAGCAGGCCAACATCAGGTGCAGCCTAATTACTCAGACAGCCCAGCTGCTGGGAGACACCCGCTGGTGACCACTGGAACTGCCCTATTTGACTCTGGGAACCACAGTGACACCAGCAAGTGATCCAGATGATGACAAGTCCTGACAGTCGACCCCCCCCCCCCCCCTCCCCCCGAGGAGCAGCCTCCAGACATTCCATTCTTCCTTTAACCTGAAAGTCCATGTGGGTGCAGAATAAGTCCAAGAAGATTTCCCTTCAGTATCTGAAGACTCTCTCAAACTCTTCAGTCTGTCAACCTGCTGGATGGCGTGCCACCTGAATCTAGCAGCGGATCATGCGCCCCAGTGGCAGGGCCTGGAAGCTGACTGGTTACCCCACTGCCAGGGTTCAAAAGCTGTCTGGGTTCCCCACAGATTAGATTCCTAATGAGGTGCAACATCTTAAACTTGCACATCCCAAATGCAGCATATGTCCCAATGCTGGGATCCCAAAAGCCAGCTGAAAGACTAACACCAGTATCCGTGGTACACACAGTTGTCCCGACGCCAAGGTGTCCCATCGTGAATGGGCATTCAACATCTTTGTTGCCAGAAACTGCTCTACACTTATAACAGCCACTCAGGTCTTCCCAAGGCATTGGTCACCCAGCAGGAGTCCTCTAATGCACCTAGGATTGTGTAGGTACCACCTAGGTCAGGACAAGGCTCAGCCTGAACTCTGCCCTTTACAAGAAGGCTTCTATTACTGGGGCTGAACAGGAGAATGCAGCTCTTACTTCCAAAGTGGGTATCTGGACTATAAGGCCTTGGCGCAACAGAAACAAATGGCCGCAAGAGGGACTCAGGAGAGGCAGCAATTGGGATCTTAAACTGAACAGCTAGCCTAGGCATGCCACAGACTTGGAGGTGCAGCAAAATTAGACCCAACAGTGAATTAGACCCTGGTACTGAAGACTAGCTGGTCAGCGGGTACCAAACCATCGGGGGCAGGCCAGGCAGCAGGCGGAGAAGCATCGGGGGCAGGCTGGGTATCAGAGGCAGGCTATCAGAGGCAGGCTGGGCAGCAGACGGAGAAGCATCGGAGGCAGGGCAGCAGGTGATGACAAGTCCTGACAAACCCCCTTTATATGCGTCCCCATCAGAGTCCCCCTTTACATTAGGTGCTCCCAGAGTCCCCCTTTACATCAGGGGCCCCCCAATCAGAGTGCTCCCATACATCAGTTGTAATTCCCCCATTGTACTCCTAGATTTTCTTAAGAATGCAGCTTCTCCTTCCTTCCCTCCTGTGGTCATGTGATAAGTCACATGAGAAGGGTAGAGAGGAAGGACACACTGCCTTCACTCCTTATTGGCAACTGTCTATCACCCCCTGCAGGCTGGACGGAGGAGAAAGCCTAAACCTCCCTCCAGCAAGTGTCGGTAGCTGCTCCTTGTTACAGGACTTAAATCGTGATTACTCCGGTCACTGTGGAGTGGCACCAGCAGTGCGCCCCCCCCAGGTCCATCTTGGTGGGAGTTAGGACATATTGTTTGGCAGCTTATAAGCAGCTGAAGCACGTTTGTATTTTTAAAACCTTTGCATTGCTGAAAGAACAGTTTCACTATATTGGGATTGCTGACATATACCATGCATAGTATATATTCGATTCAATTCCTATACCATGTCTGCAGTCTCTGACCATCTCTTGTAGTATGTGTGCAGTCTCTGATTATCTCCTGAAGTACGTCTAGCACTAAATAATATGCACAATCCTTTGGTGTATCAGACAGCAGCTGATGCCCCAGAAATCTCATTGGTTGACCATCACTGGGATACAGTCTCAAAATACTGTACAGTATGTGTATATACATGGAGTATATAGAAGTCGGGTCATGCCCTTTGTGGTGTCCAGTAGACCTTTCACCACAAAGGCCTCTTTTACATGTGCTACAGTCCCTTCTGCACATCTATAAAGTGATCCACGGTGGATTGCTTTGTAAAGGCAGTTTGCAGGCATTCAGGAAGAGATACTGCATTTGGCTTGTGGCTGGGGCGCCTGTGACTTCCATGGGCAAGTTTGATGGTCTGCCTATGAAACTTAGTATGTCTTGGGGGGGGGGGGTTTCCGCAGCTTAACAGAGAAGCGCAAAATCTGGCAAAGGAGTCCTTTCCTCTGCTGCCAACTGCTGAAGCAAGGTTGGCACAGACAAGGGAGATTCCGCAGCTGCAAGAGAGGAGCAAGGGCCACATAAAATGGCCTGAGGGGGCTGGATTTGGTTCGTGGGCCCCCAGTGTTTGACACGTGTTGTAAAAAGTCAGTGCAGCAGAAAGTGGCGGATCACTAAGGAATTATGGGTTATGAAGAGTCACCTGACTGTGTGGATGAATATTTTTTTTACTACTTTGGGATGGTCAATGCTTTTTTCACTCATTTATATGGACTCACTCACATTATGATGTGTCAATTGTGATTGTTTTATTAGCACTGCGCTTTTGATTTAGAAACATTTTATTTTTGCTCTTCTTGTATTTTAACCGCTTAATGTCTGAAGATAAAATAGCGCTACCAAACTACCTACGTTAATTTATTCCTTTCCAAACAAATCAAAAAATGTCATGTATTTTTAATGGTTGTAGCTGAGCAGAGAAGCTCTGAATAATTTTGAGTTTAAGCAGCAGTTTCTGGAGCCAGGGCTGAGCATGCTGGAGCAGCTCAGGTATTTAGAGCTGCCTAGAGTTGGGGCTAAAGGTCTTTTAAGGCTACAGTGCAAGCCTGAAACTGGGAGTTCAACTGCAGGACCATTGTGGAGGCAAATCTGGCACACAAAGTAATGTCAACCCTATTCTAGAGGATAGCAGCATCATGCACATGTAAAAATAGAACACCGGGAATTAAATTGATATTACACATTTTTCTGCAAACAAAATTTAAAGTCCATATTGATATCAATACAATGTACTTCCTTTTAGCATACTACGTATATAGAATATTTTTTATGTTGATCTGAATATTTAGAAAACATAGTACCATTGTGGAGATTATCACTTTATGGTTACAGTTTTAGATAAGCATTCTTTTACAAAATCCCTGCTGTCGGCCCAATAATTTGATGTTTTTGTACACTGTAAGCAATGTCAAAATCCCCAATCTGTACAGGAAGGTGTTCTACTTCAGGAGTGAGGGATTCTCATACTGGACGTACATCACACAGAGAACTGACAATGTAAAGTTCACATGCATCACAGCTTGTGACTTGTGACTCACCTTAAGCAGTGTGTAATGGAAGTATTTTGTTCCACATCCACAGAGAGATCTAAGAAATCTTCATCTTTGCTACTAACCTTGAGAAGGATATAAAAAAAAAAAAAAAAAAAAAAGTGTTACACACAAATCACAGTGTTTTACATAGAAAGGACTAAAGAATATGTATTTGAAAACTGAATTGCTTTCTTCTTATTGCTTCAACAATGGCCAGAGGATATTGCTAGATATGGAGGACAAGCTTTTGTGACCTATATTGTACGCATATGATGCATACAACCTTTTATTTTAAAGTGGTTGTAAACCTCATGCATGAAATATGAACAAATATCCCTATATAGTGTGGGAATGTCTCAATACAGAGCAATAAGTGCCAATTCTGTCTGCTGCCATTTATTTGCCAATTGCCTCTACAATTAGTGTAAGTAACTGATGAGTTTTTTTCCTGACACCAAGAGAAAATGGTGACAGGGGAGGACACAGCCTGTGACTGACAGCCTCAGCTCTGTTCCTGTGTGCTGTGTGAAGGGGGGAGGGGGGGTGCCCTTCCCTCTCAGAGCTCTCCACACTGAGTGTTACTTCAGCTCCCCGCCCCCTGCTTTTTCAGAGCCGACAGATCCTGTGTAAATTCTGCACTTTGAATGGATGTAGGGGAAAGATGTCTGCACATAAACAGGTACAACTTATATAGGATGAATTGTTTAATCTCTGTATCACCTGAGGCCAGTCACTTAACTGCGTATATGTAAGGAATGTCTGGGGCTTTTAAAAACAAGAGAGGCTTTATGGCGACTTAAAACAGCACAATGTTAAAAATATTACACGTTTATCTCCTCCTCCCCTGCCTGCCTGTCTCCAGCACTGCACCCAGGGACTAGCAAGGAGATGTAGATCTTGCAGTGTAATGAGCACTGATTGGTAACTCGTCAGGAAAGAGTGGGTCAGGACTTATACTTTATCCCTGTCACTGCCAGAGCAGTTATTGCGTTTTTTTCACACATTTAAAAAAAATAATTTTAGGCCTGAAGATTACATAAAACCCCCAAACATTATATATTTTATGAAATCAGAGACCCTATAGAATAAAATAGTGGTAGTAACAGTTTTGTATGTCGCATGATTTTACCGCAAAATTTTAGTAAAAAATACAAGTTAATTTTAGGACACAAAAAAGCAATACATTACCCTATGTTTTTGTAAAATATAAAAGATGAGGTTGCAGTGAGTAAATGGATATTTAACTTGTCAAACCTTATATTTGTGCGTGCTCGTGAAATAGTGACGAACTTCAGTACCCTATATTTTCTGTAGGTCGACACTTTTAAAACTCTTTATAGGTCACCAGTTTAGTGTTACTGAGGAGGTCTGGTGCTAGAATTATTGCTCTCATTCTGGCATGCGCAGTGATCTGTGTATCGCAATCAATGGTTTCATGCATAGGTGCCCCAGCATGTGCTTTTATGTTTGTACGTGCGCATATGTGGGAGTGGGGGCCTCAATATTTTTTTGGGGGGATGGTATATGCTTGGGTGTAACTTAAATTTTTTTACAGTTAAAAAAAAAATTTTTTTTTTTTTTCTTCACTTTTTATTTTTGGTGACCGGTTCTTTTTGAGACATCCAAGGTCTAAAAGACCCTGCACGCCTCCCCTCAGCTCCACTGAATGTAACGTGGTGCACATCGCACCATATTACATTCTTTCCCAGGGATTGCATTACAATCTCTCAATCTCTCATCATAACGTCATAACAGCACAAGAAGGGGAGGGGAGCAGACTTGTCCGCTCTTCCCCCTCCTCTCTAGCCGACAGCGAGCCAGGCCTGCAGATGGGCAAGTGGAACCCGGGAAACCTAAGGGGGGGGCAGTTGGCAGAGAGGCTGGCACTGTGTGAAAGCAATCAGCGGCAGCGTTGCCACCGAATGCCACCACCTGCCTGGCACTACATGTCCCGGGGGGGGTGCTGCACATTCATTGTCTAAACTGGCAGCCCTCTAGCTGTTGCGAAACTACAAGTCCCATCATGCCTCTACCTTTGGGAGTCATGCTTGTAACTGTCCATCTTGCAATGCCTCATGGGACTTGTAGTTTGGCAACAGCTGGAGGGCCAGCAGTTTGACACCTATGATAAGGGTCTTCTCTTCGAAAAAGCTCCCATTGTTATACTGACCACACTGTGCAATGCAGCAGAGGTCCACTATGCTGCCAGTACTTCTTCCTATGCTGTGCAGTGCATTACAGAAAGTTAAAACAAACCAATCCATGTATTTAAAAAGGTTAGTTCATCTTTTTGTTAAAAAATAAATAAATAATAATTAGAAGGTGAACTAACATTGTAACAGCCTCCTCACCCCCAGGTCCCGCTGTACTTACCTCCATGGGTGATGAGTTGTCAGTACATTAGGCAGGCGATGCAACAATCCAGGGATGTCAAATCCCCACTTTTCTCCCTCTTCTCTCTGCAGCGGTTCTGGGACGGATCAGAGGACTGAGCAATCATAATCACTCTGATCTGATCAGAAGCACTGCAGGAAGAGGGAAAAAAGCGGGAAATTCAAATCCGTGGGCTGCTGCACTGGCTGATTGAGGATTGACAACTCATCACCAATGGAGGCAAGTACAGCTGGGACTGGGGATGGGAAGGGTGTATGGTGTTAGTTCACCCTTTAATTTTATTCTTAAAAGTTGACCTTTAAAGTTAAGCTAGCTGAATTTCTAACAGTCCTCTGGAGTGCAGATTTCAGACTAAAAGGCCCTTTCACACTGATCAGTTTTTGTTGCACCTTTGGCATTTAAAAAGCGCAGAAAAATGCATCCCTTTAAATACTATGGAACTCTTCACAGTGCAGATGCGCCATGTTTTGAAAAGTTTGATGCTGCATCTTTGGTGCAGTTTTTCAAAAGCACCTTCCATTGTAAAAGTCAGTAAATGGGAGGGCATCAAAAGTGCATCAGTGTAAAAGGGCCCTTAAGCTGAACAAAAACGCCTTCCAAAACGATCAGTGTGAAAGGGCCCTCAGAGTGGTAGGTTATACGCACGTGTACCAACCAGCCTCTAATGCACTGTGCATTCAATCAAAAACCATTACTCCATTGTTTCTTGGGCAAGCAGGTAACACAGGAAGTAAAAAAAAAGGACACAAATGGTGACACCAAGCTGCTCATGTATTGTGGCAGTGATATGTGAATATCAAGAATGCTTGAATGAAATTGCATGTATACAGTGTATATATATATATATATATATATATATATATATATATATATATATATATATATATATATATATATATACCCACATACACATATACACACACACACACACACACACATATACATATACATACATACACACTATGAACATGACAAAAGAAAAGGAAAAAAAAAAAAAAACACCACACACAAAGAAATGGCGGGTGCAATGGAAATTCTGGCTGTAGGGCTGCTACAAATTCTACAGGTTACTCAGTACACAAAGCAAAGAATCTGATGTCTTAAAAAGGCCAACAATATGTGCAAAATGCAGTCCACACACCTTACAATCCCACACTTGTAAATACTGTAATGAAATATCTACTTTGGGCTAATTGAAACCAATTCAGCAAACCTAGATATAAGCTCACTTTTAAAAAAAAAATAATTTCACACCCAGATCCTCCTGAATGTGTTTTGACTTATTATCTAATATTCATCAACCTACTGCTTAAAGTTGAGTTCAAGGTTTACTTTTACTTTAAATAGTCGATTTAGGCCAACTAACTAATGCGGCCGCTGTGTGCGCTGTACTATGCTGTAGTAGCATTACCTACATACAATAAGCAGTGCTGTGTTCTGCAGCAATATAGGTGACTTCCTGCCTGCTGCTGGAACTAAATTGAGACAGCCTGAATGCTTGTATGACATTCAGAAGTAGTCTAACAAGAAAAAAAAATAAATAAATATCAACTAGGAGTATCAGCTGCTCATCCCCAAACAACATTAGCTAAAATTAAAAAATATACAGTTAGATAAGGCATCACCGAGCTTATATTCATTTACTACTTTCCAGTTTTAGATATACTGACCTCCCTTTTGGGTCTTTGTGGCCACCGTTGGTTTTCCTTCCCCTGCCACCGATGTTTGAGATGTTCATGCATGTACCCACAAACGACACCCCCATCCACCACAGTTCAGGACTCCATGAGGAACATTGTTGCTTTTAAAATGCTTGTAAAGGCTCAAGGTTTTTTCTATGCATGAAGGCAAAAAACCTTTCTGTATGTAGCAGCGACCACTAAAACTTAGCTGAGTCCCATTCGCGATCTAGCAATGTGGACGAGAGCCTTGGCTCTCAGGGAACTCTCCCTGCTCACAACCAATGAGGGAAGGAGCAGGGGGCAACCCCTGGCTCTGTGTGTGAATGGACAAGCAGAGCAGGAGCTTGGGAGTGAGCCTGCTTGAGTGCCACCATAGCAAACTACTTGCTGTGGGGACACTTGGCAGGAAGGAGGGGCCAGGATCTTAGCTACTGTAAGAGGGCAAGGCAGTTGCAAACCCTGACCATTGTTTGTATGATATCCTAAATATGGGTATAACAGAAGACATGCTAAGAAAGGTGGAGAAGGCCTTTAACTGAATTACTCACCAACAACATGTATTTCTCATAGATTTCAGGTATTCTGATGATCTGACATCCAGGATTTCAGACTGAAATTTTACATTATGGAAAAGACTGAACATGTGAGACACCTTGTACGGGAGGAGTAGTTTGCATCCAGAGTCAGAAACACCTCACAAAAGGTTGGACAGATCCTATCAAACCACACAATCTTTCATTGCAATTATTATGTAATTTCCAACCATTAACTCCGCTATCTCTAAGAGCTCTAAAAAAATAGGTCATCTTTCACATTGTGCACTAAAGCCCATTGCACAGACCATCAAAGTTTAATTCTGTCAGTAACTTACAGTTTCACAGTTAAGACATCTGGTTTCATTGGTTAGAGTTCCCTGGAAGATCTCGTGAACCCAGGTGAGGTCAGGCTTATCAGGTTCCTGGAGCTCCAGGCTCCCATTCTGCAGCTTGCCATTCTGGGTCTCCTGTTTCTTCTCCTCTTGCAGCAGGTCAGCAATAGTGTTTAGAAGGTAGTTTAGAAATTCATGAGCATCCTGTTGCATGTAGTTGTCAAACAGTTCTATACAAATAAAAAGGCAACAATTATTTAATGCCAGGTTACATTTTTTTTTTTAATTAAAGTTTATCAGCAGAATTGCCAAACCAATATCACAGCCTTAGAATACAGTATAACAAAATGTACATACTACAACTACTTAGAATGCACTGAGCACACCTAATAAGTCTTTAAATCAGGTAATTTCTATTGAAAGCTATTTCCATATACAGAAAAAAAACAACATCCACCATGAATACATGGAAAAAATAAAAAGCATAAACTACAGGAAGAGAAAGAGAGCAGATTGGGGAGTCCAAGGTATTATAAGACTTGTTACAATGTATCTACCAATAAGCAAGAGTGCCTCAAAACCTTTTTCATTAGAGAACCAATTCGTATAAGGTCACCCAGGTACAGAAATACAAATATAACCTTTAAAGGCCTAGCGCCATTGGCAGAGCAAGAATCTAAGGGAAATCAGTACAGGACAACCAAAAGGACAGTATCTTAGGACAGAGCCTATGTATATAAGTCTTTCCTCAGCAAATTTAGATTAAGAACATCCCTCCATTGTGAGAGGGTTGGGGGTATGGGCGAGATCCACCTCTGTAAAATCAACTTACGAGCTTAAAACAAGGCTCTTGTCCAGAGCAAGCTAGTGTCAAGAGGAAGAATGTCTTCCGGAACAGCAAATTTGGGGTCCATAGGTGCCTGCGTAGAACAAACGTTTTTGAGAAATTGAGAAAAAAAATGGATGACCAGTATCAAAGTTTAGGGCATTGCCATAGAATATGGATAAGAGTGCGTGTGGCAGTGGCACATCTAGGGCAATTTAGAGATGTGGCTCTCCCCCCAAGAATGTAGCTTCTGTGGCGTATAATGCACTCTGAACTATGGGAGATTATCGCCAAAGCCTGAGTGCAATGACAATCGACTAACTTCGGGTTTCTTAGATATTTTATGACCCAAGGTTCTAGCCCAAAATATGTTCCAGGCGGTTTTTAGGAACCTTCCACTACTTTTAAAAAATAGGGTTAGCAAAGCTAATAATTTGTTTAGTAAAACATCCACACCTTAGATATCAAGGTTGTATTGCCTAAACCGGGTGTCGGCAACCCGCGGCTCCAGAGCCGCATGCGGCTCTTTTTCACCTTTGCTGCGGCTCCGGAGCACACTGCCCACCAGGTGACAGGCAATAGGGTTGCCGTAGCTCAGTGGTCGGCAAGCCGCGGCTCTTTTAACCTCCCTGGCGGTTTTCCCGAGTGTAGCTCGTGGTAGAATTTCTATACCACGAGCTACACTCAGGCTTACCATGCGGCGCTGCTCTGGGGGTCCCTGCAGCACTTACCTTGTCCTTCGTTCCCGCGATGTGTCCCCTGCAGCGTCCCCGGCCATCTCCTCCGGCCGATGCCGGCATCCGGCTTCTGTGTTCCGGTCCCCGTGACGTCGGGACGTACGGGCGCCGCCGGCGGCGGGAAATTTAAGAAATGTCTTTTTTTTTTTTTTCAATTTTCAATAGTAAAACATTGTTGTTTCATCCCATTTCACATACATATTGTCCCTAGTGCTTTGTCCTGTGCCCTGCCTGCATTTTGTCTGTTCTTTCTGCCTGGAAACTTAGAAAAGTCCATGGCGTCCAAAAAGCGTCCCTTTAGGTCAAAAGCGGTTTTAGACCGGCTAGAGAACAGCGATAGTAAATCAGAACCACTTGCAGAATTGAGTGATAATGATTTGTGGGGAAATTTTCCTAAAAATTACAGCCTACAATAAAAAACTATTTCCATGCGAAAAAATAGTACCGCTTTCAGCACAAAAAATCGGAAGGAATCATACCGCCAGGGAGGTTAATGCAGCTCTTCTGTGTGCCGGGCGCCCGCTCCCCTCCCTCCTCTCGGGCGGCCGCCCCAAAAGTCAGGACTCTGCAGCTAGCCTAGCAATGGGCAAACTACGGCCCGGCGGACCTTATAATCCGGCCCGCGGAGCGTGCCAAACATTGGCTTTCAGGATGTAGGCGGGGCAGCGTGACGAACTCCTCTCCTCTCACAGTCCGCCCTGAAGACCAGAACTGCGCGGGAACACGGCGAGAGGAACGCGCGGAGTACAGGTAAGTGAATTGACACAATATGGGAATGAATTACTATAGGGGGGATGAATTACTATAGGGGGGATGAATTACTATAGGGGGGATGAATTACTATATGGGGGATGAATTACTATGGGGGATGAATTACTATATGGGGGATGAATTACTATATGGGGGATGAATTACTATAGGGGGGATGAATTACTATAGGGGGGATGAATTACTATGGGGGATGAATTACTATATGGGGGATGTATTTTCAGTTTTAAAAATGTGGCTCTCAAAATAAATTTTAATCGTGGTTTTGGCGAGATTTGGCTCAGTTGAAAAGGTTGCCCACCACTGACCTAAGGCTATGATTGTGATTATGGCGATACACTGTGGCCCTGAATAACCCTTTGCTTACTGGGCCCTTAAACCCCCTTCATGACCAGAGCGCTTTTTGCAATATATGCAGTGTCGGATTTGTTTTAAATGTTGCAATGGTTTTGCGGCTCCCAGTCTTTTTTTCCCTCTCGGAAACGGGTCCAAGTGGCTCTTTATGTCTTAAAGGTTGCAGACCCCCTGGCCTAAACACAACCTTTATCTTGCCATGTAATGATAACAAAGGACATTTTTCTATTTGAACTCCTCTCCTATTCCATGCTCTGGTTACTCAATGTTTCATTCATAAACTTTTTAGCACAGTACAAACCCTCTCTAGATTTTGTCCGTGCCTTAATGGATGTTTACAATTTAATAAATGCAAGCCATCAAGAGTTTTATAGTCAATGCAGCCATCACCAGTTTCCATTTGTACAAAACACATCTCACCACAAGAGTGCAGTGCTGTACATGAAATCTACTGAACGGATTAATGAACAACCTCCATGATCTCATTTCTTCTCAGATCTCAATCTTCTACTGAAGATTTTATTTACACAATCTAGAAAAACAGCTTTATTTTTGTGATTTTAGTTGAATGTATAAACCTATTTTAAGAAAAACTCCCAAAAGACTAGGAAAAACTATTATGCTTCTTTTTAAAATGCCTTCAAGGACCTCTCTTGTGATAGAAAAAAAAAAAATTTTTTTTTTTTGCCAAAAGGTGGAATTGTCGCTTCATTGAAAAAATTGCTTCCTTTATTTTGCCTCAATGAATCACAAATCAGTGTAACATTTCAAAACAATAACATTTTTACCAAAAATTTAATTTATTACTTTTTTTTTACATTTGAGCCTGCGAAGAATTGCAACTATGATCAGTGGATTGCAGATGCAGTACTCTGGCTCCTACAGACTATTCCTCCACCTCAGGTCCATACCAAGGTACATGTCTTTAGCTATGAAACTGGAGGAAGTACCAATGAACTACAAGTGTGGTGACTGCACTTGTGCTCCAGGGAGAGCTACAGCCCTTCTGCTCCAGTGGCAGATGGGACTTTTAATTTTTAATTCACAACTCTGAGAATGAATGACCCAACTGTGTGCGCGGAGTTGGTGGGGCAGGGGCGCTTTGGTGGTGCTGGGGGCTGTGCATGCTAACCATGTTTCATGCTACACACTAAATATGGGTGCAGTAAAAACATGGTCAGAAAGGTGGCATTGGCTTTAAAATGTACAAGACGTACTTTTCTTAATGTAAAGAAGACCCATAGACAACCACTACATAGACATTCCAAAGCTATAATGAACAAATATGCAAAGTCCTACTACTTTCAGATAACTGCTGTTCATAAACGTATGGTGCCAAATTGGTAAAAAAAAAAAAAAAATCTTAAACATCCTTTAATATACATAAAACTACAATTTTTTTTCTTTTTTGATCTCCAGTGGTTGGAGCTATAAGTAGCCAGTATAGCAAAATGTACTCCATCAATCCTTCAGAAACACCCCAGAAAAAAGAATTCAGAATATGTACCACAAGAGGTTGATTTTTGTCTTTTTGTCACAGCAGATCAATGTTTTAACACAGTGTATTACTGATTTTTTCTGCTAAAAAATGATTACATGCATCTATTAAAAATACCAGAAGACAACAGCGTACCCTGCAAACATGTAATAGATATTTAGAATACTTGGAGGTAATCAGTTGGAAGTGGAAAACATTTCCATAAAATGTCAGTGATTACTGCATAAACAGACATTTGGTACTAAAGTCACGGGGAGAGGAAATGAGTCACGTAAGAAATGGGTCAAGAAAAGAAGCGCTGATGTGGATAAAGAGTGCAGAGACTTTGGCTTGTTTAAAGGAGAAAAATAACAAAAAGTCAGTTTAAAAGTATACCAATGGGTTAAAACATGTTCAAGCTTTATTTACCTTAAATAGATGGTACTTCCAGCTGTCCGCATGCTGTCTCCATACCCCCATGGAGTGTTGCACCACCCAAAATGTAGGCCACTTTGTAATGTATTTAATGAATCAGCTTACAAGGTCATTGCGTGTAACCTCCTGATTGAAAAGTCCCCCATCATAGTGGCGAGCGATCAACAAACATTATATGGGAGAGGGGCGATCATACAGCAACAACCACTAAGGATTTTTCTTTTCTTTTGATATTTAAATATACAAGATGAGGCTGTCAAAACAGCTGTCAGATGAAAAGTATAGTACAATTATATCGGGGGGTCACCTCCCTGAAGCCAGCAAGGGAATAACTAGAGAAAAAAGGCTGTTCTAGGGTGACCCACCTACAGTTAGGTCCATATATATTTGGACTCTGGCACAATTTTAGTTTTTTTCCAGGTATTTACCAAACCATATTCAAGTTATAGTCATATAATGGATATGGACTGAAAGTGCACACTCTCAGGTTTAATCTGAGAATATGTACACCCAAATTAGAGGAAGGGTTTAGGAATTGCAGCTCTTAAGAGTGGCCATCCCACCTTTTTCAAGGGACCAAAAGTAATTGGACAATTGAATCAAAAGCTGCTTCATGGCCAGGTGTGGTCTACT